AAAATTTTGCTGAAATCCATGTCATTTCTTTTTTCTTTTGGTTAGGCAATGGGGTTAAGTGACTTGCCCAGGGTCACCCAGCTATTAAATGTTATGTGTTTGAGGCTGGATTTGAACTCAGGTCCTCCTGAATCCAGGGCCTGTGCACAATCCATTGAGCCACCCAGCTGCCTCCTGAAATCCATGTAAACTACATATGCAACTGTCCCCTGACCTGCCTGTCTAGAAACTCAGTCAAAAATGGAAACAAGCTGAGCCTGGCATGACTTGTGCTTGCTGAAGTCAGGCAGGCCTGTGATCACTGCTTCCTTTTCTAGATATTAACTAACCATCCCTTTAATAATAATACCCTTTAACATTTTGCCAAGAATATAAATCAACCGTTAGTCTGTATTCTATTTCCTTTTCTGGAAAATTTGGGATGCTTTCTTTTTCCAGGCCCTGGGTATCTCTCCTTTTTTCCCTTAATTTTTCAGTTATGGCTGACAATGGCTCAATAATCACAGCTGTTCACTTTTGTAGCTCTTGAGATGTTTGTTGTCTCAGATGGGACCTGTACTCATTCAGGGCAGTTGGGTGGTCTCTCACTGTTCCCTTATCTGTTAGTCATTTTTGTTTTTTTGGCTAGGTAATAGGGTTAAGTGACTTGCCCAGGGTCACACAGCTAATAAATGTCAAGTGTCTGAGGGCGGATTTGAACTCAGGTCCTCCTGACCCCAGGGATGGTGTTCTATCCTCTGTACCACCTAGCTGCCCCCTGTTAGTCATTTTTTGTTCTGTCCAGCCCAGTGCGACCTGAACTCTGCACTCATCTAGGGCGATTGAGTGTTCTGTTACTGTTCCCTTATCTTGGGTGTCACCTCCTTATTAATAATATTTTGTTCTGTCCAGCTCAGCACTTATTCAGGGCAATTGAGTGTTCTCTTCCTCTTCCCTTATCTACTATTCCCTTATCTTGAGTGTCACTTGCTTATTCGTAACTTTTTATTCTGTCCATCCCAGTCCAAAGATCATTCTCTTTGGGAGAAAAAATAGAAGCAAAGTGAGAACTGGGAAGTTTTGCTCTCTCTTCTCAGTTCTTGATGTCTCCTCTTCCTCTCTCTTCTCCTAGAATTTTTTTAATTAAAAATTATTTTTAACATTCATTAAAAAAATTTGAATTCTATATTCTCTCCCTCCCTTCCCTCCTCCACACATTGAGAAGACAGGAGATATGATATTAATTTTACATGTGAAGTCATGCAAAACATTTACATATTAGCCGTGTTGCAAAATAAAACACACACAATAAGAAAAATAAAGGCGTGAAAAAAGTATGGTTCAATTTGCACTTAGAGTTCATCAGTTCTTTCTCTGAAGATAAAGTATTTTTCATCATGAGTCTTTTGGATTTGTCTTGAATCATTGCCTTGATCAGAGTTACTAAGTTTTTCACAGTTGATCATTGTTAGAATATTTCTGTTATTGTTTACAACGTTCTCTGTTCTGCTCACTCCACATTGCATTGGTTTGTATAAGAATTCCTAGGTTTTTCTGAAATCATCCTGCTCATCATTTCTTAAAGCACAATAGTATTCCATTACAATCATATACCACAACTTGTTCAACCATTTCCCTATTGATGGGCAGCCTCCCAATTTTCAATTCTTTGCCACCACAAAAAAAAACTACTATAAATACTTTTGTATAAATAGGTTATTTTCTTTGATCTCTTTGGGGTACAGACCTAGTAGTGATATTTCTGGGTCATAGAGTATGCAGAGTCAGATAGTCCCTTGGCCTTAGTTCCAAATTGTTTTCCAGAATGGTTGGACCAGTTAGACAACTTCATCAACAATGCATTATTAGTGTCCCTGCTTCTCCACATCCCCCCAGCATTTGTCATTTTCCTTTTCTGTCATATTAGCCAATCTGGTAGGAATGAGGTGGTATCTCAGAGTTATTTTTAATTTTCATTTCTCTAACCAATAGTGATTTAGAGCATTTTTTCATGTGAGTGTTTATAGCTTTGATTTCTTCTTCTGAAAACTGCCAACTCATATCCTTTACCATTTATCAATTGGGGAATGACTTGTATTCTTATAAATTTGGCTCAGTTCCCTATATATTTGAGAGTTGAGACCTTTATCAGAGAAACTTGCTGTAATATATTTACCCTAGTTTCTTGCTTTCCTTCTAATCTTAGTTGCCTTAGTTTTGTTTTTGTAAAATGTTTTTAATTTAATGTAACAAAAATTATTCATTTTATTTCCCATGATCCTCTTTGTCTCTTGCTTGGTCACAAACTCTTCCCTTTTCCATAGATCTGACAGGTACATTTTCCTATGCTCCCCTAATTTGTTTATGACATCACTTGTTATATCTAAATCATTTATCCACTTTGAGCCATATCTTGGTATATGGTGTGAGATATTGGTATATGCTTAGTTTCTGCCAAACTGCTTTCCCATTAGTTTTTGTCAAATTTTCACATAAGTTCTTGACCCAAAAGCTTGGATCTTTGGATTTATCAAACACTAGATTACTATAATCATTTACTGTTGTGTATTGTGTACCAAATCCATTCCACTGATTCACCGCTCTATTTCTTAGCCAGTCCCAGATTGTTTTCAAGACTACTGCTTTGTAATACAGTTTGAAATCTGGGGTGTTTGGGAGCTATGGGGTATTCAGGGAGGACTAGCATCTCTGGTGGGAGGGCTTGCTGAGTTCTTTTCAGGGCTGCTTATCCACTTTTGCTATCCACTTGATTCACCCAACTCTCACCTGGGGCTCCAAGAAGCTGTAGCATACTTGGTGGCCACACCCTGGTAAGTCTCTGCAGACTGGCCAAACCAGGTTGAGGGTAGCTGACAGTCCTCAAACCTGTCAGTGAGTTTAGGGTGCCTACCCTAAGTATTGAAGACTTTCTTTGGTGAAATGGGTGGATGAGAACGATTTGTTCCAGTGACTATGAAGGTAGTTGAGGTAGGCACTGTGGAGTGCTTAGGACTTGGTCAGACACTGAAGACACCAAGGTCATCCATTGCATCCTGGGCCAACCCCAGTTGTCTTGACTTTCGTCCTGTCACTGGACTTTGATGGTTCGGGAAGAGAGTGAGGCTGAAGATTTTGTGCAACTCTGCCTCATTTAAATCCAATTCATGCACAAGTCAAGACATCACCTCATGATGTCATTGGTCCTCTTTGAAATAAAGGATGAACAACACAACAGTTTGAAATCTGATACTGCTAGGCTGCCTTCCTTCACATTTTTCCCTTGATTCCCTTGATATTCTTGACCTTTTGTTCTTCCAGATGAATTTTGTTATTATTTTTTCTAGCTCTACGAAATAATTCTTTGGTAGTTTGATTGGTATGGCACTGAATAAGTACATTAACTTAGGTAGAATTGTCATTTTTATTTTATTGGCTTGACCTACTCATGAGAAATTAATATTTCTCTAGTTGTTTAGATCTATCTTTATTTGTGTGCAAAGCGTTGTGTAATTGTGTTCATACAGCCCCTGGGTTTGTTTTGGCAGGTAAACTCTCAAGTATTTCATATTGTCTATAGTTATTTTAAATGGAATTCCTCTTCCTATCTCTTTCTGTTGGGTTTTGTTGGTAATATATAGACATGCTGATGATTTATATGGGTTTATTTTATATCCTACAACTTTGCTAAAGTTAATTATTTTAGGTAGTTTTTTAATTGATTCTCTAGGGTTCGGCAAGCACAACATATCATATATGAAGAATGCTACTTTTCTTTCCTTATTGCCTATTTTTATTCCTCCAATTTCCTTTTCTTGTCTTATTGCTATAGCTAGCATTTCTAGTATACTGTTGAATAATAGTGGTGATAGTGGACACCCTTGCTTCACCTTTGCTTGGAAGGTTTCTATATTAGATAAGGCTTGCTCTTGGTTTTAGATAGATCATCCTTATCATGTTTGGGAAAGCTACATTTTATTCCTGTTCTTTAGTGTTTTTAACATGAATGGATGTTGTATTTTGTCAAGAGCTTTTTCGCATGTGGTTTTTTTTTTTGATTATTGATATGGTCATTTATGCTTGTATTTTTTCTAATATTGAGCCAGTCCTGCATTCCTGCATTCCTATAAATTCCAGCTGGTCATAGTATGTGATCTTCATGCTGTTTTGCTGTAATTTCCTTGCTGATATTTTATTAAAATTTTTGCATCAATATTCATTAGAGAAATTGGTCTATAGTTTACTTTCTCTGTTTTTAGTCTTCCTGAATGTTGCTTTTTTCATTATTCTCTTTTTTGAACTTTGTAAAGACATAGTCTTGTTACCAAAAAATTGTAGAATGACTATGGGTTGTCATTTGAGCATCAGACTAGCAAAGTCTGGAGTGGTTCATCATCAGTCAGTTACAGTAACCAAGAGTAACGTTCCTATGGTCTAGTGGATAGAGTGCTGGTCTTAGCATCAAGACAGGCCTGGGTTTGAATCTTGTCTTAGACGTTTAGTAGCCGTGTGACCCTGGGCAAGTTACTTCCTTTCTCTGAGCCTCAGTTTTCCCCATCTGTAGGACCATAGATTTAGAGGTGGAAAGGATCTAAGATTCCAACAAGTCACACAGAAATGGGGGTGTCATATCATTCCCCTCACAGGGTTGTGATGAGGAAAGTCCTTTGTGAACTGTTAAATGGTGTAGTAATATGATAATGAGTAGATGGATGGAATGCCTGGCCAGGAAATCCTGGATCTCTGCCATCTGGGATAAAGAAGGAATACCTTGCTAGTGTGGAATGCTCTGACAGCCTGGCCTCTGCTGATTGCTTCTGTGCTCTTTGGTTCCTCTCTGTAGATGGACCTACCACCCCAGTAACCCCTGAGTTGCAGAAGGGTGGGAAGGATGGGTTTTGGTGATTCTCAAAGGGTCTGAGGGTCCCCGAATGGCCAGTCCTGCTCCTGAGAGGCAGCGTCTCTCCTCTTTATGACTGTTCCCAAGCTCAGCTCTGTGCAAGCACGTGTATTCTGTCTTCCAGGTCCCCGGCAGGTGGTGTTTCTGCAGCATGGTTTGCTTGCCGATTCAAGTAACTGGGTCTCGAATCTGGACAACAGCAGCCTGGGCTTCATCCTGGCCGATGCCGGTTATGATGTGTGGATGGGGAACAGCCGAGGAAACACCTGGTCCTCCAAACACAAGACCCTCACCGTCGGCCAAGATGAGTTTTGGGCTTTCAGGTAGGTTGGTGGTGAAGCAGTTCGAGGCAATGTGTACTGGGCACTGACTCTGGCACTGGAGGGGGATTCCTCCCTGAATGACTTCTCCAGGAATGCACATCTTTTACCTCACATGGTGCAGGCACATGGGCTGATGACAACAGCTGAGGTTTCCCTGGTGCATTTTAAATTCGAGGCAGCATATGAGACATATGGTAGATAGTACGTACAATTTGGCATTAGGAGAGGCATGGGTTTGAATGCTGCTACAATATTCTCAGCTCTGTGACCTTGAACATGTCACTCAACCTCTGGGCCTCAGTTTCCCCATCTGTAAAGCAAGGATGTTAATACCTGTTGATCCTATTGTATAGGAGTGTTGAGAGGCTCCATTGAAACAATGTCTACACAGAACGATAACTGTCACCTATATCCAGTAGAATGTAAGCCCCTTGAGGGCAGGGGCTCTTTAAGCAGTTGGTGGTACCGAGGAAAAAGTGTCAAACTTGGAATCTGGGAGACCTGAGGTCAAATCCTCCCTTAGACATTTAATAGCTGTGTGACCTTGGGCAGTCACTTAACCTCTGTTTGCCTCAATTTCCTCATATGTAAACTGGGGATAACAACTACACTTATCTTTCCAGGGTTGTTGTGAGAATCAAATGAGAAAATATTTGTAAAGTGCTTAGCACAATGACTGGCACATAGTAAGTGCTTTATAAATGTTAGCTATTATCAAAGTGTTTTTCAAACCTTAAAAGTTGTTATTATTACTATTACTACTACTACTACTATTATTACTTGTTGTTGTAGTGGTGGTAAAAGCAGTGACAGCCCTAGTTGCTGGCATGGTTTCCAGTGGTGTAGAACAGATGCTTTACTATAAGTTAAGGACCTTGGACTTAGAGTCGGGACCTGCTTCACCTCCAGCTCCTCTGAGCTGGGTGACCCTGACTCCATTTCACTTAACCTCTATGGGCCTCAGTTTCCTTCTCTGAACAGTGAGGGAGCTGGATTTGATGACCCATGGGGGTCCTCCCAGCTCTGGCTCCTACTGTCCCCTCTAGTAGATGCAGGGACGGCTGGAATTTCTTTTGGGACATTCTCTTTTTGCTTTGCAGCTTTGATGAGATGGCAAAACATGACCTCCCTGCTGTGATCGACTTTATCCTGAGCAAGACTGGACAACAGCAAGTGTATTATGTTGGCCATTCCCAAGGCACCACCATGGGTAGGTCAAGAGGAGGCCATGCTTCTGGGTTCTCAATGGCGGTCTGTGTAATGGGAACTTGAGACTGAGAACATCCTTCTCTGATTGCCGCTGTGCTCAATGTGTGCCCTGCTGTGTGTGCATGTGTGCATTCGTGTGCGTGCACGTGTGTAGGAAAGAAAAGCTCATGCCAGACAGTGTTAGTGGTCCAGAGCAGGAAGATCAGATACTGGGGGCCCCGATGCCCAAGTACGTGATCCTCTTATCTCATGGGGATGTTGGAGAAGGGCTTCCTCACTGAATGGAGGATGCATTAGATAGCTCCTAAGATCTCTTCCAAGTGTCCCATTCTGATTTTCTCTTTAAATATAATATAAAAAATTTTATAAAAATTAGTGCTCATTTTTATAGCTCTTTAAGATTTGCAAAGCACTTTCCATGTATTAGCTTGTTTGATCCTCCAACATCCCCATTTTACAGATGAGGAAACTGAGTCTCAGAGATTAAGTGATTTGTCCAGTGACCTCAGACAGCTAATAAAGCTCAGGGGGCAGGGCCATTTCTCTCTCCAAACCTCATGGTTTAATTCCCCTACCCTTAAGTAGAGACAGGATGGGGTAGGAAAGAGCTTTCTTTGGAATCAGGCACGACTGAGGTCCAAACCTGGATAGGAAGGATGGGTGTCCTGGGCTTAGATTATAAGGGGTTGAGCTCTTGACTGTTGACTTATGGGCAATTCCAGGGTTTCCCCAAGCCCCGAGGCAGGGATCTCCTGAGAAGGAAGGGCTGAGTGAGGACCAGGAGGCCCCATCCATGTTTGGGTTGCTTGACTTTGCAGCCTCAGCTCAGGCTTTGGGGCTGGAGTAGCCTCTCAGGGGCCTGGATTCCTTCCAGCTGATCTTGAGGCAGCTTTGAGAACATGCACTTGACATGTCCTTGAGGCCCTGTGGAGCCTGAATCCACACCTTGGGTCAATAACAGGCAAGGGGTCTGGGCTTCGAGAGTCCTGTCAGCCCTGGGACCTGGAAGCACTGTTGGAGGGCTGCCTGGGGGCCCCCAGTGCCTTCAGAGGTGCTGGGTGGTTGCACTGGGTGGGTCAATGCAGCTTCTTCCCTTGGGGAATCATTGGTGTTTGGGGGTTCACTGCGCAGAGGCCTAAAGTCCTGTTTTGTGTCCTTCCCTCCCCCAAGCCTTCATCGCCTTCTCAAGTTTGCCTCAGCTGGCCAAGAAGATCAAGATGTTTTTTGCCTTGGCTCCCGTCGCCACTGTCAAGTTCAGCAACAGCCCCATGGCCAAGCTGGGATTTTTCCCAGATTTCTTATTCAAGGTAGGTATCCTGGATGAAGCTCGAAGGCCCATAGTCTGGGACCTCCTGGGCCAGGGAGCCCCATTTTACAGAGGAAGAAACTGAGACCCAGAGAGGGAAAGTGCCTTGGGATCATAGGTGCTAAGCTTGCAGGGAATTTGGAGGCCAGCTAGAGCACAGTTTTGTTTTGTCTTGTTTTTCAGTTGTGAAATGTCCTTTCCCAAGTAGCAGGATTGCTGCAGGGTCCTGCTGTACAGGTTAGAGTTAAGAACTGTGTGTGTTCTCCTGCCCCTAGTTCTGGGAATAATGGGGCCAGAGGTTCCTATCTGTATTCTGCGGAACTAAAAGGGAAGCCTCTAGTCTAATGATGATGTTCAGTTGTAGCTGACTCTTTGTGGCCCTAGTTGAGGTTTTCTAGGCAAAGATCCTGGAGTGGGAGCTGGCAGGGGTCCCTGGGGTGGAATCCCCCTCTCTATGACCTTTCAGTCTCTGCCTGAGGGACCTCTGGGGGGCTCTGAGGCCATCCCACCTCCCCCACTTTGGCAAAGCCCTAATTGTTAGAAAGCTTTTCTTTTTATTTATTTATTTATTTATTCATTCATTCATTCATTCACTCATTTATTTGTTCATTCATTCATTCATTCATTCATTCATTCATTCATTTATTTATTTATTTTTAGGCAATTGGGGTTAAGTGACTTGCCCAGGGTCACACAGCTAGTAAGTGTCGAGTGTTTGGTCTGAGGCCGGATTTGAACTCAGGTCCTCCTGACTTGAGGGCCAGCGCTCTATGAAAGCTTTTCTTGACATTGAGACAGATTCGTGGCAGCTGCTGGCCCTGGCTCCTGATTCCAGTCCCTCCCAATCATGACAGCCCACCCCATGCTGGAAGGTGGCTATCATGTGCCCCCAAGGTCTTTTCTCTTCTCCAGGCTAACTGGGTCTGCTCTCTGGCTCCCACTGGGGCTCTGCCAGCTGCCATAAGCTGCTGAGCTGGGTGCTACATTTGTGTCTCAAAGGCCACTTCCTGCTCTCGGCCAGGGCGGTCCATGTAGCTCCTTCTAGCAGGTGTTAGGGGCTTCTTTGCACACCTTGGCCTTGTCCTGGATGGAACAATCAATAAGCATCATTGTCTTTTACATAAAGTGAAAAGCACTTTACAGGGGTGATCTGTGTGATCCTTGAAACAAACCTGTGAGGAAGGAAGGTGTTAGGATGGTCCTCAGTCTCCCAGGAAGCACGAAACTAGCATGTGTCTGAAGTGGGATTCGAACCCAGATCCTTGTGTCTCTAAGACAGCGAACATTCTGTCCACATAGCCACGTTCCCTCCTGTGGAAGCCGTCAGGGTTCTGCTGCGTGCCTGTGAATGCTCTTGGTGGGGGTGGCCGAACCAGGGTGTTTTACGACTCCGGAAGCTTTCTTTTCTTTGGCTGTTGCTTACGCTCTAGTTTTTCTTCATCTAGTAATGAGGGCTCCTTAGCATGGTGAAATGAAGACAATACAAAAAGAGGAAAAGGTCTGATCACGCTCAGCATGTTAGATTTGAGGGCCTGTCATCTGGAGGGGATGGCCGACTTAGCCCGCTTCCCAGGGCAGGAGCATCCAGGAGCGGAGATTGGAGAGAGGCAGCTTTTGGCCGAGTGGTTAGCGTTCTGGCCTCGGGGCCTGGGTGAGCCTTGATGATTTCAAAGGTCCTTTCCAGCTGGAAACCTGTGATCCTGCAGTGCTCTGTGTACTAAGCAGTTGTATCCCAACCCTCTCCTCTTCCCCTCCCCTGGCTTTGCCCCTCCCTAGTTATGGCTCTGATGATTAAAGTTACTCAGAGGAGTGAGCTCTCCATTACTGGCAGGATTCTGATATAAATTAGCTTGGTGGAGTGGAAAGAACAGTGAATTTGGAGTTATGGGATGTGAGTTTGAATTCTGCTGCTGCCTCTTAGACAGATCTCTCCCCCTCTCAGGGCCTCAGTTTCCTCCTTAAGAAAATGGAGGGTGGGACTAACAGCCTGTGGGGTCCCTGCCTGCTGCTGTGAGCCAAAGGGCCTTTGACTGGCCTGGGCACCCCCTGAAACAGGCTGCCTGGTTTTCTGTTTCTGTGCAGGACATATTTGGAATGAAGCAGTTTCTCCCCGAAAATTGGATTTTGAAGTGGCTGGGGACCCATGTATGCCCCCACATGATTCTGAAGGAGCTCTGTGGGAATCTCTTCTTTGTCCTCTGTGGCTTCAATGAGCACAACCTGAACATGGTATTTGAACTCCAGGGACTGGCCTTTAATGAACGTTTACTAGTGCCTTCCCTTCTTCTCCTCTGTCTGGGTCCCTCCCTCCCTCCCTCCCCCTCCTCCCTTCCTTCCTTCCTTTTCCCTCCCTCCCTCTCTCTCTTCCTCCCTCCCTCCCTTCTTTCCTCCTTTCCTTCCTTCCTTCCTTCCTCCTTTTCTTCCCCTTTTCTCCATCTCTTTTTCCTTTCCTTCCTCTCTCTTTTCCTTCCCTCCTTCCCTCACCTCTTCATTCCTTAATGTATGCCTTTTTTTTCTTGTTTTTGGACAAAGCTTGCCTCTGTCTTCATGTTCTGAAGTTCACCCCCCCCCCCATAGGTCAAACAACCAGTAATCTAGTTGATCATCTAGGTGTGGGCATATCAGTAGCCTGCCTCTCCTCTCTGCTGTTGCCTTTGCAGCCAGCCTGGGGCAGTCATAGGGTGGGGGCTGGGAGTTGGGGGTGAGAGGAGGAGAAAGGCCTGCGTCCTTTTAAATGGATGATTCTAGTGTGTTGACTCAGAGCTGATTTCTTTCCGCCTTTAACGTCACGACGAGTCTGGCATGTTAGCTGGGCTCAATGTCACAGAGCGAATGTGGTAGCAGGAGGCGGTGGGCTGGTGGCAGGAGAGCCAGGCACAGGACCTGGCTTCCAAGCCCAGTTCTGCCCCATAGGATCCTAGGCCAGGCCTGGGAAGAATCTCACAGATCATCTAGTCCATCCTTCTGAGGCCCCACAAGAAGCAGCCTGCCCACGTTGATGAAGAGTGGAGCAAAGATTCCCGCTCCGGTCCTCTGGATCTGAGTCCAGAATGCTCCCCATTAGAGCGTCCTCCCTCCTTGGGCAAGTCACTTTCTTTGTAGGGTCTGCTGCCTGATTGCAAAATGAAAGACTTTGGGGCCAGGAGATCCTGGGTAATCCTGGGTGATCCTGGGTGATCCTGGGCTTGGCCACAGGTTGCTGGCGAGCCCTGGATGCTCCAGCAGCTGGGCTTTCTTGGGTGGCTGCCGCCTTTCCTGAGCAGGGACCCTGCAGCTTTGGCAGCTGGCTCACCCCTCTGGCTCTGGTCTCATCTTCTCTTTTCCTTGTGCTGCAGTCTCGAGTGGACGTCTACAGTTCGCACAATCCTGCCGGGACGTCTGTGCAGAACATGTTACACTGGGGACAGGTAGGGTCGTGTGGTGGGGCTTGCTGCCTCACGTGGTTGGGGGGGGCAGATTCCACGGATACAGTCCTGAGGTTGGAGTCAGGGAGTCTTTGGCCACATCACTGCCTGTCTCTGTGCCTCAGTTTCCTCCTCTGTAGAGTGAGGGGCTTAGACAAGGAGACCTCAGCAGCTCTAAGCTCTCTCCCCTCCCCCCCACCTATCCTCTCTTTCTTTGTGAGGCTCCTGGACAAATGCCAGCAGCTTCACTCTCATTCTGCCTGTGAAATGGTAAGTCACTCATCTCCTCCTAGCTCCAAGCTGCTTCATAAGTAATAAAGAAATGATTCCAGGCCCCAAGGAGGGGCCTCTGGTGTTTCTCCACTGAAGATCAAACAGCAGCTGTTGGGGCAGTGGGGTTTGGAGTTGGGGGCCTGGGTTCGAATTTTGCTTCTGCTGCCCTAACTACATTTTTGACCTTGGGCAAATGGGTAAATGTCTCAGGACCTCCTGGGCCCAGGTCCTCTGGTCCTGTGACTCTTGGGTCTGCCTTTGGTCTGTATGTAGCATGGTGCCTTCAGAAGAGGCCTTTAATGAGTGTTTAACTGGTGGAGAATGGGAGCTACACTAAAAATACTGGATTTGGGAGTAGAGGACCTGGATTCAAATCCCACCTCTGCTACTTACTACCCGTGTACTCTTGGGCAAGGCACTTCTTTGCTCTGTGCCTTGGTTTCCCCCTCTGTAAAATGAAGAAGTTGGACCCCTGCTGCCAGCTCCAGTGCTATGAGCCATGAGGAATTTAATTAACTCAATAGTAGTGCCTGGTCTCCCTCTTCAAATAATCATGTATGTACTTACCTGTGTACATGTGATATTCTCTAGGAGAAGGACGATCTTTTGAGAGTAGGGACTAGTTTTTCTTCATTTTGTTTGCATCCCTCATACCTAGCCCTACTGTGCCTTCCACACAGTAGGTGCTTAATAAATGCTTATTGGATTAGATTTGGAGGGGCAGCCTAGTGGAAAGAATGCTGAATTTGGCCTTGGGAAACGTGCATTGAATCCCAGCCCTATGACTTAGCCTATGTGGGTGACTGGGGGCAGGCCCCACTTGCAAAATAGGAACAGTAATAAAATGGGTGCTGTGGGGAAAGGGCTTTGCCAAGGTCAGAGCACTCCTGCTATGCATGGTGCTCTTTGTCTTGGACTTTGTCATTGGAAGTTGAGGTTCTTCTGTGGTGGATTCCCCCAGTCTCTGTGGCAAAGTGACCACAGTCTTGTCTGTGTCCAGCCATCAGTGATTCCTGACCTGACCTGACCTGACCTTGGACTGAACTGGCGTTTGGGGAATGTTGAAGAACCACATTAAACTTGGCTGAGTGTTTTTTTTCTCAAATGATAATGACTTACATTTCCCATAGGGTTTTCAGCTTCACCCTGTGAACTAGCTGGTGCGAGTACTTTAGAGAGGTAAAAACAGCCTCAGACAGTGCAATTGAGGTCGATCCCCCAGGGAACTTGACCCCAGAGCCATCCCTGGGGTCCCCAGCTGTGATTTTGGGCTGACTGCCCACGGCCAAGGTTAGATGGTGTCCCCAGGGCAAGCCTTGCTGAGCTCCTGGGGTGTAGGGTGTTCAGGGAGAATTTTTAGATAGTCTCTCATTTGGAATACACAAAAGGGTCTGAGTCCTAGTGATTTATGGTAGTTATATTGTTTGACTGAAAAAAATACACAGGTCTCATTGCAAATTGGAAAAGAACTAGGGTATTTACTTCCTATGAAATGCTGTGAGCCATCTTGTCTGTAGAGAACAGATAATAAAGCACACTTTCCTTTGCTTGGTAAAGAGGTAGGGGGCCAGGAGTGCAGAGCATTGCTGGCACTGCCAGGCTGGCCGCCGTGAAGCCGTCACGTTGTTACTCTTTGTTATAAGGGAAGGTTCTATGTGGATAGTGTATCAGGAAATGGAAAAAGAGAAAGAAATGTTGCAGTGAGGTCAACAAACATTTATGAAATGACTACTATATGCCAGGCATTGTGCTAAGCAGTTGGAGCGAAAAGCAAATCAGTCCCTGCCCTCAAGGCGCCTACATTCTAACGGAGAAGACAAACCCTTAAAAGAGATGAAAATCAGGGAGGAAGGGAGGAAGTATCCAACAGAGGAGGCCAGGCTCAGAAAGTCTGCAGGGAGGCTGGGAGAGGAATGGAGAAATGAACATGGCTGGCCTGGGCAATTCCTGAAAATGGAGGCTCAAGTGACCAATCAGAGGAAGGGGCTGCAGGGCAGTGGGTTCTCCCAGGGTGAGATGGCTGCTGGGCAATGGCGAGAGGGCCCTCAGAGGCCATCTGGTCCAGTTGGATGTAAGCTCCTTGCGGGCAGGCCCTCTTTTACTTTTGCCTTTGTATTTCCAGGGCCCGGCACAAAGTAGGCGTTTGACAAATGCTTGTTGATTGATTGCTAAGGCATGTGTGTTGTGTTGCTGTATTAGCTTCTAATGTGTCAGTGAACTCTTTCTAACCTTCTGTCTTCAATTCTGAATGTTTAGGCTGTCAGATCCGGGGAGTTTAAAGCCTATGACTGGGGAAGCCGAGATAAGAATTACTTTCATTATAACCAGGTAAGGATGCTGGAGTTGAGATGACCCGGGATGTTTCTCGGTGGGTGGGGGGGACGGGTCGCTACCTGGGATAGTTGTAGGAAGTGGTTGGATGAAGTTGGAGGCTTCTTTCCTTTGCTCGTCACATCCACGTTGAGGTTCCCCTTCCCTTCTGTCCTCTCCGCTTCCCCCCCAACAGACCATGGTGGAGGATGACCTTTGTAGCTCAATGCCATCTTTCCATGCTGGGCCTGGATTCTTCCAGTGGCTTCGAAATGAAGCCAGCAGGCCCCAGTTTTTAATTGAAGCTCCTTGTCCATCCGTTTTGACCAAACTCAATTTAAGGCATGTGGTTCTTGTTTCATTGTGCCTTTTCAAAAATGGTGACTTAAAAATGGGTTTTCCGTGGCCTTTTTTTCCTCTCAGACTGAGCCTCCCCTCTATCGAATCAAGGACATGTTGGTTCCAACAGCCGTTTGGAGTGGGAGTCGAGACTTTCTGGCTGACACCAAGGACATGGGCCTCTTACTGACTCAGATCACCAACCTCGTGTACCACAAGAACTTTCCGGAGTGGGAACACTTGGATTTCATCTGGGGTATCGATGCCCCAGTGAGACTCTATAGTGAGATCCTGGACCTGATGAAGAAGTATGAATGAAACCTCCCAGGGCGGTCTCAGCTCAGACCATTGGCTCAGGGCCATGCCAGTCATTCTGTTGTTTTCTCCAATCAATTTGTACTTTCCCAAAGCTTTTTGTACAATAAGATGGGGGGCCCATTCTGACCCTGGCCTACCACACACCACTCGGTCTTGTCCCCATGGCCTTTGAGCCTACCTGGGGGTGGCAAGGCACTGTCTCAGGAAAGATAGCCTTCTTCAGATCTCTCAGAGTCCTGGAACTTGAGATCCAGAAGGGGTATTAGAGCTCATGGGGTCTGACTTCCCCCCATTTTAAAGATGGAGAAACTGAGGCTCAGAGATGAAGCCATCAAGTCAAAGCTCTTTGGGCATTTTTAAACCCTCACAGACTGGGGTGAAGGTTTCCCAGCCGCCACACCTGGGTTATTTATTTGGACAGTTTATAGACAGTCCCCAGGGAACAAATTCTGCTAGAGCCTGAAACCTCTAAATGCTCGTGTTTCTTGATGAGTGCCTTGTGGCAACAAGGCCACTCTCACACTGGAGAAACTTAGGAGCTAAAAGCCACATTTTATTTTCCCCTATGTTTGTAAGGAGGGGTAGTGGTTGCCTAACACTGAGCCTTGAGATATCTCTTTTCAGCCCATTGCTGCTGGCTCTGCCCACCAAGCCAAACAGAACAGGTCTTGTCCCCTTTCAGTGCGAGAGCCTTCAAAGCTTAGAAACAGCTCCTATTTCTTCACCACTCTCCTACACCGCCCCCCCCGTCCCCCAGGCTCCCAAATCTTTTCTTTATCAGGTTAAAAATCCCCAGCTCTTTCAAGAGAGAGACAGCATGACCTACTGGGTGCAGTGCTGGACTCTAAGTCCTTAAGACCTGGGTTCACATCCCACCACTGATTCTTACTAGTTGTGTGACCTTGGGATGATCACTTAACCTCTCTCTATCTAAGTCAGTAGACTTGTAGACCTCTGATCTTTATTAGCTATGTGATGTAGGGCAGGTCACTTAACCGAAGAATCTCAGTTTCCTCATCTTTAAAATTAGGGGAGTGACCTTGAAGGTCAGTTTACATTCTAAATCTGTGGGCCTTTTTGGTTTGGTTCCTGCCTTTTAAACAAACAAATGGATGGAATGGTAGTGACCTCTCCACTAGGGGGAGTGTTTCTCCTGGCCATAGGCATTTCTGATACCATGGTTGGCAGATGCCAGAAATACTTCCTAGACAAGTGGTCTAGTGTCTGAGTAACTGGAGTGGCCTTGGGGTAATGTAAAACTTATTTGCTTGATTAGTTTGAAGACTGAGACCACTGAGCTGTTTGTGCCTAAAAGCCTGGGGCTCTCTGCTGGTTCAGGGGCCCTGAATGCTGTAAACAAGGTGCCCACATTTCATTGCTTAGGTGAAATCCTGAGCAACATACACCCCTCCTCATTCCCCTTCCTGCTCCCCAAGAAGGGACCTCCTCCTGATGTCTTGGAACTCAGTGCAGCTTGGAAACAGCCTCTGCTGGCTTTAGCTTTCCTTTTCCTTTCAAAATGACCATGGAAATCTGCCTGCCCAAACTCAGGGGGTCCTAGCCTTTGAATCTTTTCATTTCAGCTGTATGGATGATTTTATTGCTTCTGATTTACAAACATTTGTGTGTATGTGTGTTATGGATAACCAGAGCACAGGGGCTTTGATACTGCTGACATAATTTCCTCCTCGAATTATAGACTTAACTAGAATTCAGGGATACTAGGTTATGATGAAAGTTGGGAGCACCCCCACATGTGCAAAAGTTGTTTTATTACTGGCATGTTAAACTTGAAAAAAAATGTGTCCAATAAAACTGAATGATCTACATAGTAATACAGAAGTTGTCTTTTATGGGGGGTGGGGTGGAAGGGGAATAATTACAAACTCTGCTTTCTCTGTTTTCTCTTTTGCTTCTGCACCCTTTTTTCCTGTGTCTGGAAAGTGTTCCCAGCAATGGGGGTACAAGTGGGAAGCAGATGTTCTTATAAAACAAGAGCTTGGGGTTTCAGTGAACAGCAAGCTCAGTATGAATGACCTGGGTGCTTGGGCTGTGATCTTAGACTGCTTTGAGGGTCTTGAATGAGAAGCAGATGGTTGTGGTGGACTGGTGGATAGTGGCGGAGGTGGTGGGGGGAAGAGACTGTAGTTTGGGCTAGGACCCTGGCAGAGCAGAAAATGGCTACATTTGCAGTCTGGAAGACATGGGTTCAAATGTCTCTTATTAACTGTGTCACCTTGGACAAGCCCCTCAAACTCTTTGGGACTCAGTTTCTTCATCTATAACTTGAGGGTGTTGGATTACAGGACATCTGAGATCCCCTCTAGATACATGAAAACAATAATAGCATTTATTAAGTGCCTACTATATGCCAGACTCTGTGCTAAGCACTTTATAAATATCTTATTTGATCCTCACAACAACTTTGTGAGGTAGGTGGTTATCTCTATTTTACAATTGAAGAAACTGAGGCAAACAGAGGTTAAGTGACCAGCCCAGGGTCATACAACTAAGAATCTGAGGCTCGATTTGGACTTAGTTCTTTCAGATTCCAAGTCCACTACCCAATCCACTATGCCACCTAGCTGCTTAATGCCATGGTCATATGAGCAGTGACACCAAGTGTCAGAAGTGGGATTTGAAGGAATCCCACTTCTGACACTTGGTGTCACTACTTCTCATTCTCTGAGTTGTTACTCTTAATAATTACTTGCACTCCTGATGACACTCAGGGCTCAAGACAGGTAGGGAAGGGAGAGTTTAGGTGCTAGGTTTGGCCTGACCTGAGATCCTTCAGCTTCCTGGGGGTGACACTGGAGGGAGGGAGGCTGAGAAAGGAGACCAGAGGAAGGGTCATGTATTCTTTGATCCATCACCTGCTTGTATGAATGCGGTGCAGCTATCTCCCTTCCATGCTTGGGCTCTGAAGCGGTGCCAGATGTGGGAGGAAGGACTTGGAGGTGGGTGTTTGAGGTATGCTGGCTGCAGTAGCTCACCCTGACCTCATGCTGGAATGTGGCAACAGGAGATGGGCCACCACTTTCTAGTCACATGGGAACCCCTCAAGGGTTTTTTGTCCTAAAGTTTCCAGAAAATGAACATGTCTCTACACACTGCAGAATACAAAAAGATGACTGAATCTGAAAATGAAGTTCATAATGCTGGCTTTAAAAAAAAGAAGTAAATAATTCCATGTTTTCCAAACTGTCCTGCTCCTCTGTGCTTTCTTCTGATTGATCACCTCTGTGTAGACTCTAAAAAAATCTGTTCTCTTTCTGTACAGTCGTTTTTAAATTTAAATTTTAAAAAATTCAAAAGCCCTTTTGGAGATATTTCTATTGCTAAGCCACCCCTCCCCCCAACACTGAGGAGAAAAAAACCTTGTAACAGGTTAGGATAGTCAAAGAAAATTAATGCATACAGTGGCCATGTGGAAAAATGTGTTTTTTTCCCACCTTGTGTTCATCACTTCACAGGTCCTCTGGCTGTTGCTTTGATCAGCATTCTAAAGTCTTTCAAAGTTCTTTTATACATTGTTCTCCTAGTTCTGCTAACTCCATTCTGCATCAGTTCATGCTTCCCAGGATTCTCTGGCTTTGCCTCTTTTGCCATTTCTTAGGGTACAACAACATTTCAATATATTGCCTCTGTGACTATTCATCATTCCCCAGGTGATAGGCAGGAAACTCTGGGCAGCCTTGGTCTTTGTTTCCCTTTTTTCCCGTTTAATTCCCTGCCTCAGGATCAGGAAATTGGTTTGCTGGGAGTTATTTATTCCCCAGCATTATTCTGTCTCTTACCTCTAGCCCTCCCTCCCCATTCCTGCTTGATTTCCTGTTGAATCTGACATCTTTCTCAGGCTGTGCTCAGCCATCCCTCCTCCATTTCGGATGACTGGGGTTCATCAAATGCCCATTCCTTCTAGTAGTTCCTCTATAATTGTTTCCTCTTTCACCCCATTTGTGAGAAAGAACAAGTTATTCCTCTTTCTTACCTTATTGCATTTCTTCTTTTTTTTTACCCTCCCTCTCTTTCCCCTCCTTAAACCCTCAGAACTGATCCAATCCACTCCCATTTCTTATTTAACCTCCTCAATACCCCAGAAGACACTGTGTTTCTAAAGGAACCCTTGTTTCTTTTTCCCTGTTAGAATGTTAGCTCCTTCCCCTTCCAATTGCTCAAATAAATTCAATCTAGGCTGTTCTGGATGATTGAATTTGTATTTGAAAGTTCCTACTCAGCTCTGGTCTTGTCATCAGAAAGGTCATCAAATCCACTCATTTAAAGGATGAGGAGCTGGAGTTCCAGGGGTCACACAGGGAACATCCGAGGCAGCATTTGAACCCAGGTTCTTTGTTTTCGGGGTCAGTGCCCCCTCCCCCTCACCCCCCCCCCCCCCAATAACACCATCTGCTTCACTGGTCTGGATGAGAGGCAGATTGGCAATAGTGAATAGGACACTGAACTGACATCTGGATTACCTGGATTCGATTCCTGTCTTCAATGAATATCAGCAGTGTTGGCCTGGGGAAATCCCTTCACTTCTGAGACACAGTTTTCTCATTTGTAAGATGGGATCAATAATATTTTCATTACTTTCCTCCCAAGGTTGACATGAGGGAAAATTCCGAAATGGGAAATGTTATTAGGATTCTGGTACAGGATCTAAAATTGGGCAAAATATCTTTGGCTTTCCTTTGGGCTATTTGGGGCAAAACACTTAGTTTTAAAACCATGCTCCTTTCCCAAACTAACACTTGGAATCTCTATGCCACCCTGGATAACCAGGCCCTGAAACAAAAGGTGTGAGTTGCCTTTGCCACAGGAGTTCCTCATGTGCTTGCCTCTCTATCTGTGCACTCTCCTTGTGTGTCCACTTTTCCCAATGGCTTCATGTGTATTTGTGAGAGTATACCCCAGAATTCCTGGTGGGAGGAACGCTTTGCTACTATTGTTCATGCTATGTTATCTCAGTGAGTGCCTTTATTTTGAGCTGATTATATCCTTTGGGGGTACTAAAGTAAATATAAATATACCAGAGAGGACTCCTGAGCTATCGTTTAGGATTTTGAATCCATGGAATACCTGAGACCAAGTATAGTTGTTCTTCCAAAGGACTCAACCTGCTGTTCTGAATTTTTTCCTTCTGCTAGACATCTCTGGGGGCAGGGTGTGTGTTATTTATTTATTTGTTGTTGTTTTTTTTTTTTTGTGGTTTCTCTCCCACATCTGTTTATTCCCTCTTTCATTCTTGGCCTCTGAGGCTGTGCCTGGTGCCTGATGCAGATGAGAAAGGACACATTCAGATTCATCTGAGTGCAAAAATAAAATGAAACTGCCAGGCAAGTAGAACCACCAATAACAGGCTAGCTAGGTAGAGAAACAAGCATCTTTCCACTCTTGCTTCCCACTCTGGCCTCTCGCTTATCTTCTGTTCCAGCTCAATTTAATTCAATTCAGTTGGACAAACATTTATTAAATAGCTCACACATACAGGCTTTATGACCCTGGGCACAGTCACCTAACTTCAGTGCTCGGGGTACCTCTCATCCAAGGTTCTAAGTTGCCGGGCAGATGTGGACCTGCATTGGGAAAGGGTGTTTCTTCATAGAAATTCCTATACCAATGAAACCAGAAGTCTGGCCTCTGCTGTCAAAGAATTATAGAAACTCTGAGCTGGAAGAGAACTCAGTTCATCTGGGCCAGTGCAAAGCTGAACAGCAATCTGGCTGAAGTTCTTTGACCTCAAGAACAATCTTTATTATGTCAAAAATGTCTTGGGTCAATACCCAGCAACTGGCCAAGTCCCTGGATGTTTACCTCAAGACCTGTTTTTAAGGAATGGTTCCCCAATGTGGGTCCGGGTTGAAACAAATCCCAGAACAATGTGTTAGGGAAGTTCCTTGGCCCTTGGCTAGGGCTGTGGGTAGGGAAGGTCTTATACATTAACCCTTCAGTCGTGCTCTGGCTGGTCAATGCCATGTTAGTGTGGTCTGTCTAGGCCAGAGGACAGTCATCCCTTTATTTCACACTTGAGGAAAGTGAGGACCAGAGATGTCCTTTCTAAAGTCACAGAGGTCCCAAGTGGCTGAGCTGGAATGAGACTTTAGCCTTCTTTCTGATTCATCTGCCGGTCATGCCTGTGGCCTCCATTAAGGAGAAGGAGGGAAATAGCCTAGTCCACACACTTACTGGGATCATGCAATCGGGTTGCGGAGAGTGATATCCCTGGAGCGTTTGAAGGGAAGCCCCTTGCGGAAGCTGGCAGACAAAGGATGCCTTCTTTCCAGTGGTCTCCCAGGGACGCCCCACGCCACAAGCTCCCCCTTCTCTGGCTGGCTAAACATGGCCAAAGCTTTCAATTTTTCTCCTAGGCCTTTGGAAATCTCAGACTGATGGAAAAGCACAGAGCTGATGAGAGGCAGTAAGGGTCAGTGATCAGAGCACTGAAATTGGAACCTTGAGGAACTGGGTTTAAACCCCACCTTTGGGACTTAAGTCTTTTCCTTCTTTGGGCTTCAGTTTTCTCATCTGTAAAATGGAGGTGAACTGGATGATATTTAAGGTCTCTTTTAGCTCCAAATTTTGGAGGCTGAAATAGTAGAAGTCCTGCCCTACCCTCCTAAACGTCCTGTGGATGAGATCCTGGAGGGGCCGGACTTCCTGCCTTCTCTGGCCACAGAGTTGAGGCAGACAGCTGCAGGACCTTATCTGGTGGTTTCCCATTCTGGGGTACAGGGAGGGGGTCACCCAGATCCCCGCAAGGGCAGGTGGGGACCCTAGTTCTGATAGCTATCCTGAATGAAGCCAGCCAGCCCTGAAGGAGGGGGTTCCT